CTATGACTTTCAAAATTGACCAAAGGTTTTTGAAAGGAAACTTTTCTAAGAAGAAAAGAGTATAAACACGAGTGCAAAAGGAGGATCCACTAGAGAGAACAGACATTTCAAAAGGCCTATAGACCTTGCAGTGTCTTTTCTCAATGTTTTGTCCCTTTTCCTTCACTTAATTCACTTGACCTTAGTGGGTCTCTGTACTGTTGTTATCAGACACTCTGTGCCCAACAACTATCATTCACCCATAATCTAAAGTCTAGCTACAGTAACACCATGCTAAAAACCATGTCAGAATCATTTAGTATACCTCTAATAAAATATTGATTAAACTGTAATTTAAGAAATATATTTTAAGGATATTTAGCTAGATTTACTGGACAATAATACAGACAACACACATTTTTTGTTTTGCTTTGTTTTGTTTTGCAGTGAAGACCAATTTCAGCCAGCATGAATGTCTATTGCTAGTTAGGCTAATCAGAAAGCAATGTTTTATTATTATTATTATTATTTATTTTTTTAGCCCTGTAGGCAATTATATAAAAATAATTACAATTATTAAAACAGAATGGATATGAAAAATCATGGTAATCATTCTGTACATATTATTTGAAATAGAAATATTTTGTACATTCTGTGGTAATCACTATTATTAAGTGACGGAAACATTAGCCCCTCCTATAGATTTTGGTAGATGTTTCTCATGCCTTATCCCACGTTCTTCCAAATGTTCTTACACCCATTCCTCAAACAATGAATCATGGCAAAGTGTATTATTATTATTATTGTTGTTGTTGTTCAAATATTCATATTTTAAAAATAAATAGTTATCAAAATTCCTTAGAATCATCATAAATCTATGTGAAAACTATAAGTGTGAAAACCTTTGAATTGAATTACATTTATTAAATAATGTATTAATTTATTTACTTTTAAACATGACCATGGTTTAAATATGGTTAGCTGTGGAACAAGCAAGACTCAGTTTACATTTATGTAATTAGTTTGCATATACATTTTTATTCATGGTTTGTCAATGATAAATGTATAAACCTGGTTACTGTGCATTTAAAACACAGTTTATTGCATTTATGTATAACTGGCAAATATGCATCACAACATGTTTATTAGCTTAAGTTAAAACAGTGTAATCCAAATCAATGGAAATTTTATATGAAATTAAAATACATAAATCTTAAATATAGGCCTAAGTTTAATTTTTTGGGATGGATAGGTTCCATAAATTAACACACAATTAGCACTCATACACCGTGTCCTAACCAGGCGTGATGTGACAAGACTCCTGTGACAAGAAACTGAACGTGAAAATGGTGCGTGACGCAACACAACCAAGCACAAAACAGCCAATTAGAGGCGTTATCTCTGTTTCACATGCACAACACACTGGGCAAAGACCGTAAAACTACATTCAGTATCTTGTATTTTCATGACTATTTTCGGACAGCATGCTTTTAATGGATAACCTTTAATTTACCTTATAATCTCTGATTTCTTTTACAATCAGTCTCTCCTTGTCCAAGTTTGATGTTTAATATACGTGAATCAGAGATTTCAGTGTGTACAAATAAAGCAACCAAGCGACTGACAAAATGTAGTGTCGCTCGTTACTTGTAGCGGAGACCAAAACTCTGATTTAACAGAAAAGAGACACCTCACTTGTGGCTTCCCTTACGAAAAAGAAGTTTATTCAAGTGTGCTATTAGTAGACTTCTTTTAAACTAAAAAATAGGAAAGTATACTTTCAGTTTATTTTTTGCGTACTTCTCAGACATGGGCTTTCTGTACTTCTCAGGAATATACTTAAAATGACATTTAAGTATACTTGACTTATACTTAGAAAAAGTCTAAATATATTTGAGCTATACTTGTGCTCCGAGAACCTTTTCATTGTTATACGGTAGGGGGCGCTATTACACATCTTCTGTACAGAATTTCCCCCCCCAAAAAAACACAGGTGAAGAAGAAACCGAAACAACACATGCTTCCACATGTATTCTAACACGATCATCAGACATAAAACAGCATCAAAACTGTGTAACGTTATGGAATAAAATGTCGACCCATTAAGAGGTAATAATGATTGTCGAGCTTTGGGGTGTTGATCGACTCCATCTACGTTTTGATTATCATTCTAAATCCAATTAATAGCCATTTTTGAGCTTTTTGTTCAAAATCTTGTTAATTTCTTTATTTTTTATTCTTTTTTTTTTTTATAAAACTTACCCACATTCAAGTGTTTAAAAAAAGAATGCATGAAGCTAGAATAAAATGTTTTTGTTTACAAGCAGATACCCTGTTCTTTTGATGTTTTGTATGTTCAGATATTCATGTAACAAAATATATACAAATTAATACCTAAATAGGGACGTAGTAGTATACTTAAAGTATGATGTAAAGTTCACTTAAAGAAAACTTACAGGAGTACTTGCAATATAAAACTACTAAACTAGTAGTTTACTGAGACTATACTTCAAAGTGTACTAAAAATGCTACAAGTATTTAATTAGTAAACTATCAGTATACCTATAAGTTCACTTTTAGTATAGTTGCAGTACAAACTAAAAACATAGATGTAAACTAGTTGTGTACTCAAAGTTTTTTACTGTTATACTAACAGTATACTTAAAAGTATACTTTCATATACTAGAAAGTGGGCCAATTTAGTCCCAAGGAGTATTGAAATAGTACACTTACAAGTATACTACTAGTAAACTGATATTTGTATACTTACTACATGAAGTATACTTAAAAATATACTTGAACTTAAGTATACTTACTAAAATAAACTTGAAGTATACTACTTTTTGGTAAGGGAAAGGATGTGTGCTTCATTCCAGTCCAAAAGATCTTAGTGAAGCTGACTGAGCCATCACCTCCGAGGCGTGCGAGCAGCACTAGAGATATTTTTCACCTCTCAGCTGAGGTGATGGACTATATAGAAAGGGAGCACGATCAGTTTCTGATGTTTCAGTAGTCATCGGATACAGATAAAAGCAGCATGATATCAAAGTGTATGAGAACGTAAATTTCCACATCTAACAACATTTGTGTTGTTATGCACAATGTAGAATATACACTGCATTGTATGAATCTTTTCCATCCAATTTTTTAAAAAGTGTAAAATT